ATGCCCATCAGTGATAGACTGGATAAGGAAAATGTGGCACATACACAGCATGGAATACTATGCAGCCATAAAAAAGGATGAGTTCATGTCATTTGCAGGGACATGGATGAAGCTGGAAACCATCCTTCTCAGCAAAGTAACACAAGAACAGAAAACCAAACACCACATATTCTCACTCATAAGTAGGAGTTGAACAATGAGGACACATGGACACAGGGAGGAGAACATCACACACCAGGGACTCTCGGGTTGAAGGGCTAGGGAAGAGATAGCATTAGGAGAAATACCTAATGTAGATGACGTGGTGATGGATGAAGCCAACAACCATGGCACGTGTAAACCTATATAACAAACCTGCACGTTCTGCACATGTACCCCAGAACTTAAAGTACAATTAACAAAAAGGATAAAAAAGCGAAACTAGTTCACCAAGTTCACAAAATCAGCATATGTAAATCCATTGTATTTCTGTACACTAGCAATGAACAATCGAAAAATGAAATTCATAAAATTATTCCATTTACAATAGCATCTCAAAGAATAAAATACTGTGGGAAGATACCAAAGAAGAACTAAATAAGGGAAAGATATTCAATATTCATGGATCAGAAGACTAAATATTGTTGTCAGTACTCCTCAAATTAGTCTACATGTTCAACCTGATTCCTGTCAGAATCCCACCTACCTTTTCTGCAGAAATTGACAAACTGTTTCTACAATTCATGTGAAAAGGCAAAGGACACAGAATAAGCAAAATGATCCTGAAAAAGAAGAACGAAGTTGGAGGACTTATCTTCCTAATTTCAAAACTTGCTGAAATTAGGTAATCAAGAGAGTATTGTACTGGCTCAAAGGCAGATGCATAGGTCACTGGAAGAGAACTGAAAGCTCAGTCTGGGCACTCATGCCTGTAACTGCAGCACTTTGTGAGGCTGAGGTGGGGGGGTAATCCCTTGAGACCAGGAGTTCGAGACCATCCTGGGCAACATAGAGAGTGAGATCTGTCTACAAAAAATAAAGATCAATAAAACTAAAAATTTGTTTTTAATAGGCCAGGCATGGTGGTACAGGCCTGCAATCCCACCTGGTCAGGAAGCTGAGGTGAGAGGATCTCCTGAGCCTAGGAATTTGAGGCTGCAGTGAGCC